ACTAACTTCTTTTTCTATCTAAAATACACAAAAGAAAAACTTTCAAAATTTATATTAAAATCAGTTCAACTTATAATCTCTCTGTACTCCTGTCTGCTATATAACTACTCCAAAATAATAAAGTGCTATAAGCCTTGATAGTGATCATATCATCATATTTGTCCCCCACGGATATGATATGAAATCGATTTTCAGGCCTAGGTTCACCACTGAAACTGCTTTGGTAATCCCACAAGAATGACATGTGTCAGACACAAAGTGACAATCATACTGATTTCCCTGAATTTCTTTCTAGCTTTCCACAGCTAACCATGATATGAGGTGAATGGCATGACAATATGATGGTTCCACTCCTTCTACACTCTAAAAAGCAGCTAGAGCCAGGATAAATTAATAAGTGGACCCAGGACAAAAACTAAATTTGATCTGATTTAATTTAGAAGTATACTTAATTACAATTAAATTACATTAACTGAATGCAGTTAAAGTGAATACTCACCATATATTTAATAATGTCTCCCTTTTTATCATATTTAAACATTACAATTCAGCAAAAATTATTGAAAGGGCTCTGAGGGCCACTCCTGAGGCTTTGAGAAGGACCTCAGATTGTGCATTCCTGTCTTAAATGATAAGGGGCCAGCCATCTGGTGGAAAACTTGTCCGAAATGTACCAATCCAATCACAGAGCTCTTTGAGAAGAACCCTGTTTATAATCCTATCAATGGGCATTCCTAAGGACCAGTTAACTGAGCATAACCTTATTTATTGCAACCTTGCATGGAATCTCTGTCTTTGGAGGTGTGTCAGAAATTATCAATAATTCTATTTCATCAAGATGCATCACTTTACCAGGTTTTTGGTTCTTTTTAGGTGTGTATGGCTTTATAATACATTTTTAATTATAGTTATATATAATTAATTTAGTTATTTTAAATTTTAGTTTTAGTTCTGTAAAACTACTTGATAGCAGCTTACAGAAAAGAAACATAGCAATTCAGTAACAAACAAACATATTAATGTGGCATTTGACAAACCACATATAAACTCTAAATTATTTCCCCATCAGTAGAGCAACAGTTGATTTCCAATAATCGGTTCAAATCTGCTACCTGTTCTTGAGCTTTCCTAGATAACGGTGCATAATCTTGCAGCAGAGTTGCCATGGTAAAATACGTAGTGGACAGTTCCCAGTTGACAGAATCCCAGACAGCTGGATGGACTTCTCTTTTGCTCAATGATCTTAAGGCCTTCAGATAATAATCAACAGCCTACAAGATTTAATAATTATGGCACAAAATGAAATATTTACATATTTATAGCAAATAATAGTAGTAATATTTCTGATAAGTCTCACAATAGGCAGTCAATTGTACTGGCTGGTTTTTAACACTGGGCATAAATACAATGTTACATTAAGATTACTGTAGTCCAGACATTCCTGATCTGGAACTCTCCAGATATACAGGACTATAGAATTCCTAGTCTTTGGGCTTACTGATTGGGAATCTGGGATTGTATCTGAATACTTCTGAGGGTCCCAAGTTGGGGAATGTTACTATAGCTTTTAAGTCTCTCTATTTATGCCTGGCTGAAAATATTTTCACAATTTACTGACTTTTCAAATGTTAATCAATGAATTGATTCAGTGTAAATACTTATGTATCCAAAGCATAATCCTTTTACGTTCACAAATCAGAGTCTCATACCCAAAATGTTTGTTCACACTTTTAAAGAACTATACGTTATAGTTCCCCTGTGATTGTTCTCTATACTGAGGCAAGAGTGTGGAAAACAACAATGTAAGGAGTTATTTGGACTTCTACAACATATTCACCTAATGTTACAGTGTTCTTATTATTAGCCCTATGATGTGAATAGTTACTTATATAAATAAGGCAGTGGAAAAACAATCTGAATCGAGAACAATAAAAGCTGCCAATCCATATTTTATTAAAAACCTGTTAAAAATGTTTGGGAGTTGCATGTTTGAAAGAATGACTTGCAACAATATTGCCAATATAAAAATTAGATACAAATATGGATTTTTTGCCTATATCAAAGATGAAACATAGTAAATATTCACTTTAAAAGTACATGAGAATCATACTAATAGTGTCATACCATACCTGAAAATTTAGCATATGCCATGATAATAAAATTACTGTACAAATCTATCTTTCAACTGAAGTAATGCAATCTGAGGGTTCTTTGTTTTCCAAGGACTGAACATACCTCAGCGTAGCAAATCTGTACAAAATGCTTTATTGCAGCACACACCTTTTCCAACAACAGACTATTGCTCTTCACCCATCTAGGACTTGCGAGGTGATGTTGCCATGTAAATATGTCTTTAATACTCAGTCCCTTAATACTTAGTTCAAGCAAAAATCTATAAAGTCTATAAAGTGGCATACAACCTTTGTCTTTTTCCAAACGTTCTTACACTAGTTGGGATAAAGTGTTGCTTCAGTGTGGTGGTTCCTCTTCTAATTGCTACTGAGCTCCCAGCAAAACTTAAAGCTCCAGGCAGGATTCCCACCAGGATATGCTGCTCACCATAGCTTGTGGTCCTGGCAGTTGAATGATAGTCCTCTTGCCTGCTTGTAATAGCTGCCAATCTTCAGACATGGCCTCCACTTCCCCATCTGTATGCTGTTTGCTTATCACCTTTCCTCCTACATACACCTTCCCCACTCTGTCTTAGCATTTATTTTTGTAAGCTAAGAGCCTGGGTGGGGTGAGGCTGCCTCTGGATGTTGGCACATCCTTGAAAACACCAGGGTGTGGCTCAATTATCACAGGCAGCTGAAATGCTGGCTTGGATGCTTGTGAGTAAAGTTTGAGTTAGGGAAATGAGGGAAATGGGGCGAGAAGTGTTTCTGCCTGGCTGCAGCTACTTTTCCCAAACACAGACAGCAACCCCAACTACAATCCCTCACATGCAATCAGCTTAAATGTTTAGGCCTAATCTTACCTTATTATAATAAAGGGCCTCCTCAGGAGAAAATTCTCTTTTGAAGTCTTCACCCAGGGCACAGTGAGCATGTGCGCAAATCCGCATCAATCTTCCCATGTTACACAAGAGAAGAGCAGCATTGGTTGAATCATCAATAGATTCAAAGTTTTGAATCCCTTTTTCAAAAAAAGAAAAACTTTTCTTCCAAAGTTGCTGTTCTGCTGAAGATACCATTTTGCTCTCTACAACAGAATAAAAGAGAAGGGGCCTGTTTCATTCAGAGATCAGAAATATCAAAAACCCTATGGAGTAAGCATCTGAACAACATTCTGGAAAATTAAGTAAGAAATATTTTTACTTCAAGTGCATAAACAACATTTCAAATGTTTTTGTTTGTTTTTCCAAGAGACAGGTTGGAAACTGTCAGGAGTCAGCAGCATGGCAGTACAAAAACAAGTAAATGAATACTTAAAAAAAAAAAAACTGTTTCCAAATTGTTTTCTTCATGAACATATTGGCTCCATGATGGCTACCAGCACTATGAGAAAGTCATAAATAGTAAGGATCTAAATCCAAATTCTTAGACTTCACAGGGAAAATTACTTCTAAGACAGAAGATTCTTCAAAAAGCATATTTTATTAATTACAATGTTTTCATGTTAACAATCTCATGTACATGATTACTCAAATGTATCTAGATTTTGTTTTTAAAAAGACCATCATAGAAATCTCAAATTTTGGTCTGATTAAAAAATATTCAAAGATAAATCATTTATCAGATCACAGGTACGAGTTCTACTCTACCTTTTCTATATACAGTAAAACCTTGGTTTGCGAATATAATTCATTCCAGAAACATGCTTGTAATCCAAGGCACTTGTACATCAAAGCAAATTTCCCCATAAGAAACAATGGAAAGTCAGATGATTCGTTCCACAACCCAAAAATATTCATATAAAAATGATTACAATACTGTAATA